TGGATTTGATGTTGCCAACTGCAGTCAAGTTAACATCAAACAAATGGTGACCCTTTGAATGAGAACCTTCCAAGACACCCTGTCATTAACCACTCTGCTCAAATCTTGTATTCTCTGGCTGTAGTTTCCCTGGCTGTGGGCCTCATCACAATAGAGAAAAAAAGCCACTTAAAATCTGGTTTTTGCCTCCTGCAGAATTCTGGGGTTTGTAGTTTAGGGAGGAACCGAGAACAGGCTCACTAAACTACAACCTCCTGAATTCTGCAGGAGGCGGAAACCAGATTTTAAGTGGATTTTTTCTGTAGTGTGATGTGTCTATTCATTTGGATGTAAGCTTCCTCTTTTCTTACTGTATTCTACCTTACTAAGCACTTTCCCAATGATTCATGTCTGCATTCAGGCAGAAAAAAATGAAATGCAAAGATAAAGGATGGATGACGCCTGGCTCGACAACAGTACATGTGAGAAAGATCATGGAGTCTTCATGGACAAAAACTTGACAGTGTGATACAGCAGCTAAAAAGTCAATGTGATTTTTGGATGCATCAAAAGGAGTATAGTGTCTAGATCAAGGGAAGTAATGGTGCCTCTCTATTTGGCTTTGGTGTTTTTTTATCATGTTAGAAGTGACTTGAGAAACTGCAAGTCACTTCTAGGGTGAAAGAACTGGTCATCTGCACAGATGTTGCTCAGGGACTATCTGGATGTTACTATCCTGTGGAAGGCTTCTTTCATGTCCCAGCATGGAGAGCTGGAGCTGACAGATGGGAACTCACCATGTCACACGGATTCAAACCACCGACCTTCAGGTTAGCAGTTCAGCCGGCACAAGGGTTTAACCCATTGCACCATTGTGGCTCCCCGGCTTTGGTTAGAACACACCTGGAATACTTGTGTGCAATTTAAAAGGTATATTGACAAGCTGGAAGGTGTCCAGAGGAGGGTGACGAAAATTATCAAAGATCTGAAGACCATGCTGTATGAGGAGCATCATAAAAAGTTGGGTATGTTTAGCCTGTAGAAGAGGAAGTTGAGAGAAAACATGATAGTCATGTAGAAATATGTGAAAGGATGTCATAAGGAAGAGGGAGTAGGCCTTGCGTGATGCATACAAAAAAATCAAGACACATTTCTTCTTGTTTTACATTTGACTTCTAAAAATTAATTGGTAGTCTGTATAAAAGCTTATGGCACCATCTGAAACTGTACTCATATCTTTTGGGAGGTGTGAAGTTGATGTGACACTAAAAAGACAATACATATCATTCATAGGAAGGTGATTTTCTATCACTGCCATTGGCTTGTTCTGATAAACTTTCTTATGATGATGAAGCAGGAATGTGCTTGTCCCATCAATCACAAATGCCTGGACAAACTGGAGATGCAAAGTCTCAATCCACATAATTCTTATACTGCACAGGAAACCTAAATGTGTTTTCACATAGCTCTATACACACAGGACACCTATAAATGGATTCCTACTAGCAAGAGAGCTAGAACTTACAGTAAGTAGAACAATCAATTGTATCCACTACCTCCCTATAGTTAGTCCAACGGTTTTCCAGAAATGTCTACTTAAAAATTAGTACAGGTGCCTATATATTTTCTATACATCTATTTTAAGAGTAGGTATTCATTAAAAGAACATATATTCCTATCTCTATACAACCTATCTTTAAGCATACATTCAGAGGTAGGTTCAAGGTTTAAAATATACAGTATTTTCTGGTGTATAAGACTACTTTTTAACCCAAGAAAATCTTCTCAAAAGTCAGGGGTCGTCTTATATGCGGGAGAAGCCTTATACGTGGGAGTCACCTTATCTGCGGGAGTAGTCTTATAGAGCAGGTGCTGAAACTTCTAATCTGGATTGGAGAATCTGTGGTTGCTGCAAATGGTGGGGGGAGCTCAAAAATGGCAGTGGCTGCATCCCTGCTGTATGCAGCGACTATGAAAGCATTAAGGGCGACGCTGTACAAATACGGTAGAATAAAATCCATTCATCATGGACTTAATGCGGTCCCGATGGTGAGGTGAAGGGGTGCCTCACCGGGAAGGTGTAAGTGAAGGGTGGAGAAAGTTGCAGGCCCCCGGGTGCCCGGAGTATGGAAAAAAGAGACGATGGCTCTGGGCCCAGAAAAACACACCTCCTTTACCTGTCTGCCCCACCCCTGTATCCTATTACCATACCTCCTCCTCTGCCTCTCAGATCTCGCTCCTGAAGACTGCAGTGAAGCGGTGCAGGTGCACATGTGCGAGATCTGAGAGGCAGAAAAGGAGGTACAGTAATAGGAAAATTACCATATTGAAAATAAATCTGATGCTTTTAAAATTTTGGTGTACATTGGAAGAGGGGTAGTCTTATACAGCGGGTATATCCCAAACTCTATATTTTAACTGGAAAAGTTGGGGGTCATCTTATATGCCCAGTTGTCTTATATGTCGGAAAATACGGTACACTGCTATCTTTTACTATTTGACTTTCTTTTTATATTTCACATTTGGATGTCTATTATAAATGTATTCAGTAACAAAAAGGAAATATACCTTTGTTTCAACAATCATTACCCACTGGACGGGGGCTGAAGAGAGAAGCCTTAGCAGCAATTATACTACACATGTTAGTATTGAACACAACCTTCCTCAACAATAAAGGGACCTAAAACTTGGCCTGATGCCTGGAATAAGACTTGGGTATTATTTATCACAGGGCACTACTGCTGCACAAAAAAATGAGGTTAAAATGCACCACATACAACCTTCCTTGTTTACAAAGAAGAAAGCCAAAAAAGAAAAAGAAGAAAACCTGAAAGGGGAGTTCTGAATCCCATGTATTTATTTGCACAGAGAGGAATTTGTAACTGCTGATAAAAAAAAATGTCTGTTCTTCTCACCATACTGCTTTTTTCCCCAAACACACTTGAAAACACACTGACCTTACATGAGCTAGTTGTTATGTGGTAGCCACCACAAAGAATATACTCTGGATCACAAGTCGCCTAATTTAAATAGCAGCTATTGTCATGGTAACTATTTCTATTAGAGTATCATAGGGGGCTAAAATCAGAAGATAACTTGTTATGCTGCCAATAAACTGCAACCCAGCAGGTAGGCTCTGAAAGATACCAAATCTCTTTGGTTCCCATTAAACTTAACTGAAACTCTGCCTCTAGTCAAGACTTCAGGATAAAGTGCAGTGCTTCTGATACTTTTCTGCCTTCCCAGCTTCAAAGCTTTTAGACTCTTTAGGGCCATTATATATAATTACAGTGAAAATAATGTCAGATCTGATTGCTTAGAATCTAAATTTGCTATTTTCTTGGTCCAAGATGTCAGGCTCAGTAGAGGGCTTTCACAAATGATGTGGAGGCCACATAAGAAGGTTTCTAATGTGCTTCTTCTTTTGACATGCTAGCCAGATTAATGAGACATTTGCCATGGGGTTGCCATTTTTAATTCATGATGGTTCTCAAAAATGCAAAGATGTAACTAAAATGGTAGCCTGGGTATACATTTCCTAGTTTAAGATAGTCAACAGACATTATGTTGAGAGTATACATTCTTAGTCACTGAAAGACATCTTGTTGCCATAAAAAATCACAACATTCAGCCTCTTTTTCTGGGAATGTTGCAATTCCTCTTTTAAAAATCAAATACAGTGGACCCCCAATATCCATGGGATTTGGATGTAGGACCCCTCAAATGTGAACGCTTAAGGCACTATTAATGAAATGGTATAGAACAGCAGTGGAGGTGGTGGTAAGTCATGGGCAGGGAGAATGCTAGATGCTCGCTTCTGCCACCGGCTGGTGGAGTCCCTGGAGGCAATGCAACATGAAAAGTATACCTCTGCCAGTGCACCTGAGAGCTGGGGCTCACCACCATCTCCACTGCTGAATAGGAACTTATAAGGGAGATCTCCTGCTTTAATCTACACTTGGTTGAATCCATGGATCATGAGCCAGGATACCTGAAAGAACACTTCGAGTATGAGCGTGCCAAGAAATTAAAAACCTCAGTGGAGGCCTTGTTGTATTTCCTATCATCCTATGCAGCCATGCTAATGTGCACACAGGACTGAGTTTTCTTTGCCACAGTACCACAGTTGTGGAATGCCTTCCAAAAGAAAGGCAGGGTGCTTCTATCGCTAACTAAGGCTGAATCTACTCTGCCATATAATGCACTTCAATGCAATTCAGACTGCTTTACAGGCAGTCCCCAACAAAATAGGTTCCATAGGTTGTTCTTAAGTTGAATTTATTTGTAAGTCGGAACAGGTACATTTCTAAGTGCAACTCCTGGCATACACACACAAACACATGCTTTGAATACTTAGCACCCATGTGGTGTTTTTACTGTCTGTGTCCCTGTTGAAAGATTGCATTGCACTTTCTGTTTCTGTGATAATCGGATTTTGAAAAATTTGGCTTGTTGTGGAAACAGGTATTGGTGATAAATTGGAGACCCCTTTTCCTGATGATAACTCTTTTAGGAGTGCATTTCCCTTTGGAGGGGTAGATTTCTCTCACTTCCTGTTGTCTCACCCCTATTCTTAACTGTGAGTCATTGGTAAGTCAGATATTTGTAACTCAGAACTGTCTGTATATGGGTCTACACTGACCATATAATACAGTACAAACTGCATTATTTGACAGTGTAGATCCAGCCTGAGCTTCTGGTGGGCAACTAAGGCTGCATTGTTTTATATGACATTTGATCCTAACTTCAAGGGTAGCCTTTCTGACTGTTTTGTTTAGGAGTTTTTAATGGTGTGTCTTATGTTTTGTTAAATGAGTTTGGTTTCTTATTAAATAATATTTTTATATACTTTTATCTGCTGTTTACAACTTTGAGGGCCCTCAGAACTGAGAAGCAATAAATGCAATCTTTAATAAGTAAAATAAATAAAAATATCATGGGACAAAATTTAAGTGCATTTCCTTCTATCTGTTCAGAGAAAGACCGCGTAACAGTTAAGTAAACTGAATTAAAATATTTACCTGTTGTGAATAGGTCCGCTGAACTTTGGGTCAAATTTCCTTGGTTCACCTGCATATAAAATAAAACATTATAAAAATACATCACAACAAATAGAATAAAGAGGAATATTTTGTAACCAGTTTATTGTAATTAATTCTCACAGGAAACATCACTATTATGCTCTGCAATTTGGTTCATAATACAGGTTTTATAATGCTGAGTCCCACTCTTCTACTTAAGCAGGGTAAAGTTTTGCTTACTTTAGTAAGTTGTCAAAGCTCAGCTGGAGACAGAAATCTAAAATGAAATGGGTCAAAACTGAAGAACCAAGCCACAGATTCAAAGGCCTCCAAGACACAATGCACCCTTTCACCCAATCCAATTACAGCACTATGATTCTGTTTTGATTCTCGTGGTTTCATCCTATGAAATTCTGGCATTTGTCATTTATGGAGAATCATTTAGAATTTCACATCTGAAATCTCTAGTGCTTCATCAAACTACAAATTCCAAGTTTCCATAGATCATGATTCTTTTACAATAAAATCATAATGCTAAAATTGCATAATGTGAAATTGATGCAAGAACACCTTACAACTCAGACAAAGTTTATTTTGCTATAAGTCCTGTAGTTCTAATATATCACAATGCCCTAATTCTAGTTTTGTCACCTCTTGATGCATACTTAGGTTTCGACCTATTTTAGCTATTTACAGCGAGTAACTATGGAACTTTAGCAGTCCTTCACAAACTTGTACCCTCTCAGTCTGTTTGGCTACAAACAATGCTATAGCAGAGACAGTTCTCACAGGTTCAAAGCACCTGACTCTTTGTTTAGCAGGAAATTGTTTCCTGTTTTCTCCGGGTGGGTTCAGTGGCTATTAGCACAATAGCTGAAAGGCAAATGGGTTTTCCTAGCAACAGTATATTTTTATGACCCATAGCTGTTGTCATCCAAAGTATTTTGGTGTGAGTGAGGTTCTTTAGCTTTATGAGTGGCCATTTCTTGATATAGATTAAAAAATATCATTTTTGGAATCTCCTTAGGATAGGTGGTTAATCAAATTATTTAAAAAAATTCCTGCACATAAATATTTATTTACTACTCCATTGGCTACAACTCTCTTCATTACCAGACAGCATGGCTATGGCCACTGGAATAATGAGATATACAGTCTATAACATCCAGAGGACACTAGTATGAGTTCGATTATATATCTTATTTAATTAGCTGTTTTGGGGTGTGTGTGTGTGTGTGTGTGTGTGTGTGTGTGTGTGTATCCACATGGTTGCCAAGACTTTGTTTTCTGATGATTCGGTGTACCCAGACATGGTTCTATGTACAAAACACATTGTATAAAATTATCTTCAGGGTATATGTATAAGGGGTATGTAAAACATAAATAAATTTTGTGTTTAGACTTGGATCACATCTCCAAAGTATTCTGAAGTCTGAAAAAATCTGAAATACAAAATACTTCCAGTCCCAAGCATTTCAGATAAGGGATAGTCAACTTGCATAGTATTTGTGCCCATTGGCTTTTTAAATAAAACTTTCCTACAAATGTGTCAAGCACTGGTAGCCAATAACTTCGGGGTTAGAACAAATCCATAGACCACCACTTTTACTAACACCACTCTAGACTATGTTAACAGTAGTTAGTAAGGCTGTGCACGGCTCTTTTGGCCAGCCATAATGGCATGGGTGCCGCCACGATTCTTCCCTAGCTGTAACAGACAAAGTGGCTGCCGAAAATGGCTGCCTTCAATTTCTTTCAGCTACACATTGTGTACAGAGAGGCAGTCATGTACACACGGGTTTCCCTGTGAGGCTGTGGGCCCTGCTGCCTGCCTGAGCCAGTCAGAAGAATAAAGCCACTCACATGCTCCGTGTCCTATCTCAGTGCCTTTGCTGCTCTTAGGATCTCGTTTTTGGACTCAATTTCAATCTTTTCCTTTGGCAATTACATTTATGGGCTGCGAAAGGGCATTGAGGGGTGTTTGTTTAAATATTAGGGTGGTTTTCTGAAGGGAGGGGATAGCCTGAGTCCCTTGAGTCCCCATGGGGAAAATTCATTTCCTCCCCAGATCTAACTGAAGAAGATTAAAGGAAAGGATACCAGGAGCAGGGGTTTCTTAAGTCTGATGCTTTAACCCAGATCTATCTGAAGGAGATTAAAGAAAAGAACGCCAGAAACAGGGTTTTCTTCATACTGATTCCCTAAAAATGATGGAAAGGGGAGCCTCATAAGTTCCTCATTGCTGCCAATGGGCCAGATTTTCCCAGATCTTCCAGCTGCCAAAACAAAAAACTGCTGGGGGGGGGGGGGCACTGAAATCTGGACACCGAAAATGGCACAGGGTAAAACCAAATTGCACATCCCTAGTAGTTAGGTCCTTCTGAAACCAATGGGTTTTAAATTAGCCTCTAGCAACATTTCACATTGGTTGCGCTAAGATCTAAACATGATGTAGTCATTTGTCTATGGCCCAGGATTCTGAGATCATGTATAAAATGTCAAGGTAGCAAGTCTTCATTTGTCTATGGCCCAGGATTCTGAGATCATGTATAAAATGTCAAGGTAGCAGGAGTACAAATAGTAAGAGCTCATAGCATTATTTTGAAAGATAGACTTTGTCTCCAGAATGTCTCAAATTTGTATCCAAAGTGTCTCAAATTTAATAGCTAGCATTTTAGGTTAAAAATATGTTGAGTAATAAGATTGTTAAAAGCAGCTAGCTAGATGTACCAATGGTCTGGCCAACATTCTAGTACCAGACAGTAGAATGCACATCAAACTGGCTAAGGTCATATTTCACAGACAAATATCATCCAATTCGGTAGAAGGCAGATATCCAGAGGTCCAGAGGCTGTATCTGCTGCTGCCATCCCAGGACTTCAAGCATTCTTTTCACCCATTCCATATAGCAGACTGTTGCATTTAGTTTTTAAACAGCCTCTACATATGTCTAAGCAAGCAGAGAGGTGAAAATGGTGCAAAACCGCCATTCTTTTGATGCAAAAAGGAGACATATGGAGTGCATGGACATCCTAGGGAGGTTGAGTAAGTGGGAAAGTGAGTGGGTGGATCAATCCAGGGCCTGCAAATGGCCACAATATGCTCACTTCTGTTATATAGAAATGTAGCCTAATTACGAACTACAGTATTCTAAACAAATATATATTCATAGCTTAATTCTGAATATATACAAGAATGGCTAGATAAGCTATAAAGAAAAAGTAGGAGTCATTCAGTTTCAAATTATTATTTTGTAATAGTTCTGCCCAAGACCATAATTTGAAAAATGAGCTATGGGTACATTGTATCTCAGGGTGTGTCTTACTGAATTTAAAGGACTGATTTCTCAGAAAATGTGTCTGCAAAACTAAAAGAAACCAGGGGTTGTTGTGCTGTTCTTTCATTTGTCTTAAAATGATCACATTTTACCAATATATCTCTTCAGTGAAGGCTCATAAGAAAAACAAAAACACATTAAGTATAGCTGTCTTCAATTTGTAGTTTCTTTCCTCCCAAACTACCCAGTGAACGCCTTAATTGCAAATGTTAAAATGAAATAAGATGCTCTATTCACAGCCTTGCTTTCCCATACCCTATGAAAATAATTTCGCACCACATAATTTACAGCTCTGTCTAGATTTCCATGAAGATGAGATGTGATTTGGCTACAACTTATTTTCTATATGACTGAAGACTCAAGAGAGCTTTGAAAAACAATCATTACTTGAAAAGTTAGAATCAAACATTAGGAATAATTTATTTACTTTTAAAACACCTTTCAAGTTGTTGCCTTTATTTCTAATGAGAGAAAATAAAAATGAATTTCACTATGCTTTAAGTATAGTATTGTGAGCCGTGCACTACAAATCTGGGCACCAGGGTTCAAATCTCTGTTTAGCCATGAAAACCCACCAGATGAGTTGGACAAATCATTCCCTCAGAGGAAAATAATAGTCAACCTCTCAAGAACAATTATTTCCAAGAAAGCCCTGTGATAGAGCCACTATATGGTTACCAAATGTTGGAAATGACTTGAAGACACATCACTACCACAACAACATCATAATCTATGGTATCTTGCTTTAAAATGCTTTTGGAGTTTGTTCGGGATGCAGTTAGCCAAGATCTCAGAACATGGCATACAATGCAAAAATCATGCAAAGGGATGTCTCAGCAGCTTTGAGACTTGCGACCTCATCAGATGGGGTTTACTTCAGCGGCATATGCCAGTTCAATCCTAGTTGACCCACAGAGCCCACAGCTGCCATCTCATGAAGCAAAGGAACTTCTGGCAGGGCTCCATTGGTCAACCAAGGCAGTATGCTGCCACTGTGACAACACACAAGGCTTCCCATGTTGCACCAGAAAGAATGGGGGGAGCCATGTGGTCTATACTTCCTCCTGTAGGATCAGCTTAAAGGTAAGCTGGGCAATGCAGGGTATAGGGTGATGGGTTCCCCACACTCCCCAGCAGTCGTTGCTGGATTCACCATGACAGGTGACAATTCCAGTAGCCCATGTGAAGAGGTTGTGAGAGAAAGAAGTTTGTAGCATAAGATTTTGTAGACTACGTGCTACTTCATTAGATGCATGGAGTGATGTGCCTGTGTGTGAATGTTTATGCCCATGTGTATGATAATTAACAAAAATTGCCAAATTTTGCAAAAGCATTTTTAGAAGGCAGTGACGGTTTCTATACCAGTGTACTTAGAGGTAGGAATAAGACTTAGCACCTTGAATAGTATATTTAAAGTTCAGATTAAAATCTAGAGTGTATTACTGTTCCACTACTGTGTAAGTCACTGACTAGATGCCATTGTTAACAGGTACGGTCAAACCTCCTATCCACATGGGATAGCTTCCTGACCAGACTGCCATTCTTTGAAACTACATATGCCATAGAACACAATTAAATTAACTTACTTCACACCATAGTCCTATGGTCCTATCACACCATAGAGTTGTGCTGGAGGGTCTAGAGATTCCTAGAGATATATACTCTTTAGGACATTCCCAGGTCTTTCATGATAACTTCTGAGAGAAGCATAC